AAAAGTAAAGAGAAAGTGGCTTCCAGGTATGACGATAAACTACATCCGGCAGCAAGGTCTTTGATCGGGAGATGTGGAGCGTGGAACCACCTTTTAATTACTGCTGTTTCCAGGTCCACCCTGATCGAGGGTGGTAGCATCTGTTAAAGTGCCAGCTATGGACAAATAATTAACCCCCAGATTGGGGTCAAAACACCATGAAAGTATTAAAATACATTTTATAGTAAAAATACCAGCAACAAATTTCCATAGTAAAAAAAAAACAACTCTAGTCTATCCTCTATACTATACGGATCACCATTTCTTCTCTATCCTCTATTTGGATCTCTACTCTATTCGCTATACGAAGTACTATTAGTACGAGTATTACTCGATGACGTCTGGCACCATTATTGTTCAACAGCTTATTATAGTGGTATCTGCGATTACAAAGTCTCTACTACTTTGGCATTGACAAAGTATCAAACGAGTGTACGTTAACATAATAAAAGTTGCAACAAGGGTCATTTTGAGATAATAAAAATATGTATTCATATATTTCTATAGTGTTTTGTTTTTGTTTGGGGAATTCACTATTTGCCTATAGCTGGGCCCCAAAATATTTTCATGGCTACTGCTCTGACGAGCTATTTTCCCTGGTGCCCTGACTAAACGAATTTAAGCGTGCTACGAGGTTGGCATCTAGATCCCACCCTTTCGCTATTGAAACAATGAAATGTAACCGCCACTTCTACTCCAACAGCTTCCCTCGCACTTCCCGACAGTGGAACTCCCTTCCCCTTACTTGCTTCCCTGGTAACTATAATCTTCAAAAATTTAAATGCAACGTCAATCGTCATCTGATGACTTGATCCCCGTTCTTTCTTTTATCCTTTCCCCAATCCCATTTATACATAGTCTTTTGTCATAGTTTCATTCTCCGTAACCCCCCCCCTGCGTACTAGTGGCACTCCTGCCTTGCTTGGGGTTAAATGCTATAAAAAAGGTGCTACCACCCCGAGTCAGAGTGGACCTGGGAACAATAGCAATTAAGAGGTTTTTCAACAGTCCTCAAAACCTCCAATCTCTCGATTAGAGGCCTTGCTGCCGGATGTAGTTTATCGTCACATCCAGGACTACTCTTAATATAGTGGACTACACGCAATGTTCTATACTATTTTTGAATTATCTGTATAAACTATTTTAAAATATCAACCAATTACATTAAAATAAAAAAATTAAATCATAACAATTTCAGTCATTTATGTGTCAAACAAGTTTAGGCAATCATGTATCTTTCGATATATGACTGACGAGGTAGTTTTTTTTCCAGCAGTAGGTTGCCATTTTTTCTGCGGGAGACCAGTTCCTATCCAAGGCTACAGAACCAGGTCTGTCATGCTATTTACCCATAGCTGGCGTGGGGGGAGTAGAAGAGCAATTCATACATTTCCCAAGTAAGTGAATGTAATGGATTCGAGTGGAATTCGAACTCGGCTCTCCGATTCCTCTATCCGAACAGCTATCCATTACTCCACAATTTAACATTTTATATGGAGAGAGAAGGGAGATCACCGCCCTCTGTGGGATCAGGTTGAGATCGTAGACAAGGAACACACATATGCTAGGCCACAAAAATCTCCTGAGCCGACCAAGCATAGAAATAAATACAATATGGGAACCAGTAATAAGGAGTGGCAGAGAAAAGCGTTAATAGCAACAAAGTTGCAATATGAGCTCTGGTAAAAACATGCAATGATAACAGCAAAATTTGCAATATGAGCACTGGTAAAAATGGTTACTGAAGACATTAGGTTTATAATACCCAGAAATTCATACACAGATGTCCTCAAGGACACATGACACAGTGGATAAAGACGTTGGTTAGATCCAGTGACAGGACCCAAAGAGTGTGAGTTCAATACCCGTTTAAGGCAGTGGAGAACTTGGAAAGGGGAATCAACTGGAGATAACTGATAACTGACATCCATTAAACATGGCACATGGAACTAGAACAGTCTACCCCAGTGAGCGAAATAAAGGGTTCAGTTCCAACCATCTGAAGAAGGCCGGAGCGTATAACGTTGTAATAAATATGGCGACAAAGATGAGGACAATAGTCCGAATAATGTAAATAATGAACATTTTATATCTACTGCTAGTAATATGTAAAGTAAACCGTGATTACTAAGAAATGTACCAAAATTTTAATGGTACCAATTTTATGCACATATATATTTTTGGAAAATGTTATTTATTCGTTAAGAAATATTAAGATTATTAAATGATGGCATTGAAGTTCTGGATGAGCTGCTTTGTCTCCTGGCAACTAATGTTTTAGATCAAGTCCGCCATTGGCATGCGTATTGTATATATTTGCGCATACACTCTTCGTACAAAAATTGGTGTATCCTGTGTTTGTGTGAAGAGTATGTTCCGTGTGTGTCTCTGTTTATAGTGTTTATTTATGTGTACTGCACTGGACTCACCGTCGTATGAGGTTGCAACAATTCAGTTTTTAGAATCGAACAGCCAGACTACTCGAACATATTGGAGCTTGATACGAAAGAGCCGATTACATAGATCTTATTTTTGAAATGGGTGAAGAGCCGATTACATAGTTGACAAAATGTGTAATTTAAGATTGAATTCATAATTCTACAATCAAAACCTGGGAGAAAAGATGGATTTTCAAAGGTATTTGAACGTAAGACGAAACCAACTGGTATTCGAACACGTTTATATGCCCATTAGTCCGCTGTGCATAGTGTGTTGCTTTGTGTAGAGATCAATCAGCTATTTAACCATAGTTAGGTAGAGAAGAAGAGCCCAAAGGGTATTTGCACGTAAGTGAGTATCGGAATTCCACTAGACTTTGAACTCGTCTCTCTGATTTCTCAATCCGACACGATATTCATTATCCCACTGCGCCTCTTGTTTCTGGTGTATAATGTGTCTCCATGTATAGATTGTCTCTGTGCAAAGTTTGTGTCTGTGTAGGATGTATATACTGAGTGAAGTCCTGTTTTTATATATATATATAGTATCTGTGTGTGCTTTGGTGTGTCTCTCTTTGTGCGTGTGTTTGCATTGTGCATTTATTGTATTTGACTGCGTCTGACGCTGTTACATCTGATTAGTTTTCTTTATCGACCTGCCTATGGCATGATCGATTTCTGTCGTCGTAGTGCCGGCCGATTTCCACGGCATGCAGCAATAAACGACATCATAAGAAGAGGTTTGGATGCAGTTGGGTTCCCTTCCCAAATCGAACCCGTAGGACTCGATCGTGGTGATGGAAAGTGACCGGATGGCATTACCATTTTCACTTTTAAAATGGGGTAGTCGTTGATTTGGGATGCGAACTGTGCAGATACATTTTCGGCCGGTAATTTGATCAGGTCTGCGGTTGAGCCGGGGTTCATCGCCCGAGACGCAGAGATAAAAAAAAATAGTTAAATATTCTTCTCTTGCTGATAGATTTCTTTTACTCCTGTGGGAGTGGAGATTTCTGGGGTTATTGGCCCTCGTTCGATGGCGTTCCTTCGGGGGATTGGCGGAATGGCGTCGCGATTAAGGGACGAGCCTCGCGAAACGGAGTGGCTCTTGCAGCGTGTCTCACTGGCAATGGTCCGAGGTAATGCTTTCTTCATCATTGCGGCTGGCAGAGGATAGCAAAAAAAAATTGTTTATAGTTACTTGAATAAGTATAATTCGGCGACAAAATACATTTTTTTTTATAGCTAGTATATATATATATATATATATATATATATATATATATATTTTACTTCTACAAGTGTCAGATCAGTCCTGTTGTCATATATAGACGGGATCTGCCTTCACTTACTAGTCTAGAGTCCAAAAGCGAAACGCCACAAGCCTCTCGCTACACTATCGCTATTTCCACGGAAAGTGTCCCGACCAACTAAGTTCCACCAGTTTCACAGCTAAGACCCGCTATGCCACGCCCATTGTAGCGAACCACCTTCATTCCCTTCGTTTTCCATTGGTAAGATGTAATTTCCAATCGGAGAGCTCCTTCCCACGAAGTTAGTGGATTCGACTCTCAAGAGGATGCTTCCCCGATCACTACAATCTTAACCTGTTCAAATCTAGGATCAACCGTTATCCTCCACACATATGTGCCTCTGACTCTAACGCCCTTCCTCGAGTGGCTCTTGAGCTTTGCACGGAGTAAACATAATTGTAAAAAAAAATACTTTCAATTTTGTATAAAACAAATATTTCTTTTTCTTTAGGCTTTGGTGGCAATTGACAAAATGCAAATAAAATTAAATTACATTAGGTTGGGGCTTGGAACTATATACCCGAGTCGGAACGTTAAGAAATCAGAGCTGAAATAGTATCTTGAAAAGAAAAATAGTACAGCGTAGGCATACAAGTGGTCAACCGAATCACTATTTTCCCTGCCTTTATATATTATTACGCGTGTTTACAGATTACTTCGTTGCGAACATGAATTCAGGGCGGATTTTTATCAAAGGTAATCTGGCGAATAGAAATCGTTGGGATTCTTAACTTCGGAAATATCTAATAAATCGCAACTGGTGGTGGCTTCTTTGATCAGCCATGAGAGACGTTCGACGGTTGAGTCAGACACAATGACTATGGATGGTTGAACGTTGATATTATCTCTTCTACAGGGCTGAGAGATTCTTTCGCTGTTTCATTCGAGATTTAAATTTCTTTCCCATCTGGCTGATGTTTATTTGATTTTCCTTTATTTCATTCATCTTTTCGCTTGAAAATTTTTGCTTTCATTCTAACCTCTGGCCTTTATTGGCCAATTATTTGAATTCTTTCTTATTCAAATCTTTTTCTCCCTTTTTAAAAACTTTTCATTTTTTTTTTCATCCTTATTCCGTTCTCTCTTTCCTTATTTTATTTTCACTCTTTCTCTTTTCTTCGCTTCTTTTTCATTCTTTTTTTTTCTTTCACTGAATTTTTTTTCTCTTTTTCGTTTCTCTTTCTTTCATTTTTCTCTTTTTCTTTCTAAGAATCGTCATATAAACTCTCTGTTTGTTTCTCTCTTTCAATCTTTCTTTCTCTCTCTCTCTTTCTTCCTTTATATTTCTTTCTTTCTTTATATTTATTTCTGTTCCTCTCTCTCTTTCTGTTGCTCTCTCTGTTTCTCTTTCTTTCTTTCTTTCTATTTCTGTTTCTCTCTCTTTCTATTTCTCTTTCTTTCTTTCTTTCTTTCTTTCTTTCTTTCTGTTTAACTCTCTCTCTTTCTGTTTCTCTTTCTCTTTCTGTTTCTATTTCGTTCTTTCTCTTTCACTTTCTTTCTTTCTGTTTCTCTTTCTTTCTTTCTTTCTTTATTTCTGTTTCTCTCTCTCTCTTTCTTTCTGCTTTTCTCTCTCTCTCTTTCTTTCTCTCTCTTTCTATCGGTTTCTTTCATTCTCTCTCCCTCTCTCTTTCGGATTCTTTCTTTCTTTCTGTTTCTCTCTTTCTTTATTTCTTTTATCTTTCTGTTTCTCTCTTTCTTTCTTTCTTTCTTTCTTTCTTTCTTTCTTTCTTTCTTTCTCTCTCTCTCTCTTTCTTTCTTTGTCTTTCATTCTTTCTCTCTCACTCTTTCTTTCTATCGTTCTTTGTCTTTTATTCTTTCTTTATTTCGCTCTATCTTTCTTTCTTGGAATCCGGATATAAACTTTTTCTTTCTTTGTCTATTTATTTCTCTCTCTTTATTTATTTTCTATCTTTCTCTCTCTCTCTCTTTCTTTGTGTTTATTTATTTATTTATTCATTTCTCTCTGTTTCTTTCTTTCTTTCTTTCTTTCTTTCTTTCTTTCTTTCTTTCTCCCTCCCTACCCCTCTCTCTCTCTCTCTCTCTCTCTTTCCTTCTTTCTTAGGATCCTTATATAAACTCCTTTCTTTTCCGAACCATTCATTATTTCTCTTTTCTGCATTCAATTTCCTTCTCCCAATCTCCCCTCCCTATATTCTTCTCTTCCCCCTCCGACTTTCAACACATCGTTTGTATTCCTCTCCTCATACCATTACGCACTCTCTCTCTTATTCTTTTCACTTGCTTTCCATCACTCTTTGTCCCTTTTCCTTCTATTTACCCACTCACCAATTGTTCGTAACCTTTTCTTCTCTCTTCTCTCTTCCTTACGTATCAGTCTCTCTTCATTACTGGATTCTTTTTCAAATACAAATAGAGAAACACAAATCTCATTGGCTCTTCGGATTTATATCTCCTTGAGGAGGAATTAAAGAAATGATGTCTGTTAAGTTCTTTGCTAACGGTCTCTGACAAGTGATTTATGAGATAACAAAAATATACTGTCTCTGTCTACCTTAGTATTCTTTCAAACTCTTCACTTAATCTGTTTAAATACATGCCTAATACTAGTAGAAGACCCTTGCATGGTAGGGCCGGATTTTATAAGTTTAATCCGGCGGAAGGATTTTATGGTTTATTGACTTGTTTCTTTTTACGGCTTATCAACTCTTTGTGGGCAATTTAAAGCCAAAACATATATTTTTGCGAGTGAAGACTGCTTTAACAACATTTTGAATTTTTTTCCAATTACAAGTCCTATTTAACCCATAGCAGGGGGAATCATTGATTCGTTTTCTACGGCTTATCAACCTTTTGCAGATTACTTAAAACCAGAAAATATTTTTAGATTCTAAGATTAAAAAAATCATAGCAGTTTATTGATAAAGTCTTCCTAATTAACCCGTAGCTTGGGGGTGGGGAAGAGGCGTAGCCATACCTTTCTCAAGCGTATATAACGAACCCAACGGGGATTGAAACTCGACTCTCCGATTAACAATTCCGTACAATTATCCATGACACCACCTGTACATCCAAACTTACAGCACCTGGTATTCCCTAGCGGTCACCCAGCTAAGTACTGACAAGACTCGACGTTGCTTAACTTCAGTGATCGTGGCGGGAGGATACGGATTTATACCGTTCGCAACGGCATTTGCGCGTAAGTGAATGAAACGTAGTCGACTGCAATTGGAAATCTTCTATTCGCTTTCTCATTTCGAACTGCCACCCACCCGGCGGCAGGACTAAATCAAGCCTTTGTTTCGAGTAATAGATTATGGATTTAAACTAGATATTTATTGTATAATAAAAAAAAGAAAAAACTTGTAATTCCAACCAATGATTTATTTTTTTCTGGAAATATTTCGGCTAGCAGTTGCCAATCTTGGTTATTCCTTATTTTGAGTAAAACAGTACAAAGAAGTTCGAAACGCTTACGAATTTAAATCAAGGAAGACAAACCGAGTTGACTTCGACCATCCGGAAATAAAATTGACGAACCAAAAGCTTTTCAGTTAAAGAAGAATAGCTGAACAAATGGTAACAGCAACTAGAAAAATTCCTGCAATAGGATAGATGAAGCATAACTCCATCCTGTCTGGACATCTTTGCTCCATAATCTTTGTCTCCACAATCTTTGCTTCAACAATACTAAATATTGAAAGGATTTCAACATGTCAGCGTGTTGCCAAGAAAATTCTACTATTCTGACAATTCAATAAATATCTAAGTTAGGATGCTTGTCTCCGTTGGTAGTTGCATAATTAAAAGAAAGAAAAAACGAATGATTTATTTTTTTATGGAAATATTTTGGCTAGCATTTGCCAATGTTGGTAATTCCTTATTTTGAGTAAAACAGTACAAAGAAATTCGAAACGCTTAAAAATTTAAATCAAGAAAAAAAAAAAAACGCTAATACATCACACAGTAACCCTCTACCTTGAGTAGCTCTTGGGCCTTGTATTGGGTGACTTGAAGCAACCGAGGTGTGGTTGTACAGAATGAGGCTGGGATGTGATCAACGAGCAAGATTTAAGGAGTACTGGAACGAAAACAGCGGAATTTAAGACCAGAAATATACAGTTAAAATTTCCATGACGAATAATGAGGAAAGACGGCTTGAGAAATTTAACACTTATAGGACATCCTGAAGGGAAAAGACGGCGAGGAAAACAGAGACTAACCTACAAAACGAGTTTATATAAATGGATGGCAGGGCAGGAACTGGGTTAGATGGTAAGGGGACAAAAATTGCTTAGAGATACAATCGCCTCCCCCATATTGAAGGGAGACGGCTGGTAAAAGAAGTGTTATTGTATCATTCCTTATTTAAAAATCATCCCCATCACGAACTCATGGGTAATATTTACATTGCATATCTCTCGGGGGATTTCATAAAATATTTTAAGCACCCAAATTTTATTACCTGATTTTTATTGCAACAATAAACACGGGCATAACATGGAATTATATTTGTGCGAACATATACGTTAATAAGCGCCGTCACGTGGTTATAATTAATGTCCCCCTGGTGACCATTGATAGTATTATATAATAAGTTGATGTTTTAAGCCCTTGTTTTTCTGGTAACCGATAATCATTTGCACGATGTTTATAGATAAAGATTCAGATTAGCTACGCTGGTCAGGACAAAGTTAATTTGTAATTTTCAAAAACTAATAGAAACCTCTAATTTAGACAAAATCTTTTAGAAACCCATAATTGATATCGGATTTTTATTTCAATTTTTATAATTAACACTGGACGGGTTAAAACAAGCAATGATCCCCGGATCACTTTGAGCGCGTAAAAATCCCTTTTGCCCCGGTGCGGTAAGCAGCCTTTTTCGGAGAGATTTGTGTATGCTGTAAAATGGCATTCGTAAAATTATCCTTATCATTATCCTCATCAGTCCCATGACTGGGTGTGGTCGTAGTACCTCTGCGCGGCTACGCGTCTGACTAATTCCTTCCACAAATCTGGGTTGAAAACCCAAGACGGAGATGTGTTCATCTCTACGTTGCGTGACGTGGGAAAGTAGAACTGGTTGAGTCCGTCTCTCTTCCAGGTCAAACCACAGCCGATATTCACCATCTTGATGGCTCACTTCGAACATGTGGCTATTGGTAATATCGGTGGATGTTCAATCCTGGACACGCCTCCCGAGTTTTTTGAATAGCAGTAGAGGTTTATCTCTTGTTTCCTGTTTAGGACTGGGTTTCCAGTTCCTTCAACTTTGTACTTTTGACGTCTCTGTCTGAAATCTGAATTTTTATTCAGTAATTATCATTAGTTTTTATTCTCCCAATATGAGTAGATAGGTTCGCCTATCGTCCAGTTCACACTCCTCCCCAATCTTTTGAGCAGCTGTAGAGGTTTATCCCTTGCTTCCTGATTAGGACCGAGTTTCCGGTTCCTTCTAAAGTCTACTTCCACACTATTCTTCTAACCTCTCCAACTGAACACTGAAATTTTATTCACTAATTAAATCTTGCCCTTCTCCAATTTAGACTTAGCTGTTACATTACCTGCATAGCCCCAAGACCTTCCCTTTTTGCCATTTCTAGAGCTAATACACACAGTAACCCTCTACCTTGAATGGCTCTTGGGCCTTGTATTCTGTGACCATTGAACTTGAATCAACGGAGATGTGGTTCTACAGAATATGGCTGGGATGTGATCAACGCACAAGATTTAAGGACTACTGGAACGAAAACAGCGGAATTTACGACCAGAAATATACAGTTAAAATTTCCATGACGAATAATGAGAAAAGACGGCTTGAGAAATTTAACACTTATAGGACATCCTGAAGGGAAAAGACGGCGAGGAAAACAGTGACTAACCTACAAAACGAGTTTATATAAATGGATGGCAGGGCAGGAACTGGGTTAGATGGTAAGGGGACAAAAATTGCTTAGAGATACAATCGCCCCCGTCCTGAAGCGGGACGGTTGGTAAAAGAAGTTTTATTATATCATATCTTATTTAAAAATCATCGCCATCACGAACTCTTGAGTATTATTTACGTTGAATATCTCTCGGGGGGTTTCATAAAATATTTTAGGCTCTCAACGAAAAATGCGGAATTTACAACCAGAAATATACAGTTAAATTTTCCAGGACGAATAATGAGGAAAGACGGCTTGGGAAATTTAACACTTGCAGGAGTAGACAGGTTATTCTTCTGCCAATAGTTTAGAACGCCCTTCGCCCAGTGATGTTCTGACATCATCACAGTGGCTGTATACAAAACGATGGAGTCTAAATGGCTGTCAATAGTACTTTATTGCTAACCTTTGTCTTTCCTATAAATGATTTCACGGCAATTGTTCTAAAGAGCACGCTCCCATGATACCTCGACCGCATGAATTTAAGCGTACTACTAGATTGGTAGTTAGGTCTCATCCTTTTACCGTTCAAATAGGTAAATGTAACCGTAAATTCTATTCTAAGAGTTTCTTTTCTCACCTGTGGAATACCCTTCGGATTTCTTGCTTCCCTGAAAACTACGATCTTCAAAAATTTAAATGTAACCTCAGTCGCCATCTTCTGTCTTGACCCTGTTGTTTTATTGTCCTTTATCCTCACGAAGGTCTTCTCATTCTTTTCTACTCCCAATAACCCCTTGCGTCTTTGTGGTATTATCGTCTTGCTTGGAATGAAATAATTAATACTTTTATTATATATATATATATATATATATATATATATATATATATATATGTATACAACAGTTCAAATGTTTGAGGCCACACCTGATAATTTTCTAAATCGGCCCCCAAAGCAAATGTTTTGTACTTTAAATAAGAAAAAATTATTATACAGGGTTTTAAAAAAAGTGAACGTGATTTTCTTTTTTATTATAAATTTTATTATGACAAAAAGAAAAAAATAGCATTTTGTGATTAAATTTTGCTCTCGTCAAAATATCCTTCTTTACCTTTGATTACTGCAGTACACATTTTTGGCATTCGTTGCATAAGTTGCTCAAAATATAAGTTTGATAATTGATCACATTCTTTTCTCAATGACTCTAAGAGCTCTTTTTCATTTTGTTTTTCACTCTTCTGTTAAATACAATGCTAATTCTGGGGTGGTTTCAAACTTTTGAACTGTGTTTCATATATATATATATATATATATATATATATATATATATATATATATATATATATATATATTGCGTATATTTAGGCTGAAATTTATCATTAATGCATGTTTCATTAAATAATATGGACAAGTTTTCTCTATTTATTTTAAGTAAGTTCCTTTCATATTGTCTGATAAGCTTAATAACATTATCATTGAAAGACGAAAAGAAATCACCATATTGATACATGTTTAAATCCAATCTAAGCTTTCGGCTTACATAAGCCATTATCAAAGATGACAATTACTTTTCAAACAACACACGGACGAAACAATAATGATAGTCTGTTTTTGTTGCATGAAAAATTTCAAAGCATTGACAAACTCTCGTATACGAGACGCGGAAGCGAAAATAGCGTCGCAGCTCGTGACGTCACACATGACCACGCGAGAGTGAAAACGAGAAGAATTAAGTATGGGATGCCGTTGGGAAAAAACAATGGCTTCTGTTATCAATCATAGGCATTTAAGAATATTTGTAGAGATTTCGTAGTTTATTTTGTTCAGGTTAGGTTTCAACTGTTTTATGTATATAGCTTCAAGAATTTTTAATATTTGTTTATTGTTTTCATGCTTAAGTATATTTGTGTTTTCAACAAGAATTTTCCGGAATTGTGTACGCGGCCAGGCATGTTGTTTTAAATGTCTAAAAATGTTAAAGTTATCATTCAGTATCTGTCTATATTTCTCAGATGAGGTATTATGTACATTATTTACATTATTCGGACTATTGTCCTCATCTTTGTCGCCATATTTATTACAAAGTTTCTGCCGTTGTACGCTCCGGCCTTCTTCAGGTGGTAGACTGTTCTAGTTCCACGTGCCATGTTTTAATGGATTATCAGTTATCAGTTATCTCCTGTTAATTTCCCTCTCCAAGTTCTCCACTGCCTTAACCGGGTATTGAACTTTGGGTCCTGGATAAAGGCGTTAGTTAGATCCAGTGATATTTCAACCACCTGAAGAAGGCC